CTCTAAGAATTAATCCTTATTTGTCACATAGGTTCTGTATATTTCATAAAAAGAACCTTTCTGTATATAATATTACCTATATAATATTATAGAAAAACATAATAAAGAAGGAACTGTTGGAAAGAGAGTTAGAAAATGTGAGAATATTCCTAGAAATAAAGATGATCGTTTTGCTGCCCTGGAAGAAGAATGGTACCAAATTGACATAGAGACATTGACAAATTTAGTTGATAGTGTGCCTAGGAGAATAGATGCTGTAAAAAAATCTCAAGGCTATCCAATTAATTATACAAAATTGATAACCCAAAAATTTCGCATTTTTAATTTTTTTTATTTCTCAATAAAATATTTCTACTTTAAACAATATAAATTATTATGTTACATGAAAAATGGATTTTCCACCATGCTTACAAAGAGAAAATAATGTTGGTGTGTAACATTGTACAAGGAGAAAAAATATTATTAATAAAAATAAATCTTAAAATCTTTTATTGAGAAAAATTGGATAAACAAGACAAAAAAGCCAACCAAAAAGAGACAGAATTCTAGATACATTGTGCATGTGGATGAGCATTGTTAGAAGAGGTAAAGTATTTTGGGAGCTTTTCCTCTAGTTGATCATTCTAGTTTGCATATTAAAACTAGGGATGTTACTCATGAGTACTCGTACTCATTGAGTGATCTGCATGAGTATCCGGATACTCATGAGTACTCATGTATGACAAATATAATAATAATGATCATAATAAAATGCCTAAATATGATAGGTCAATATCGCTTTGTAACACTTGAGTACTCGTGAGTACTCATGAGTGCAGATCTTTCTATTAATAGCATGATCTATGAGTACTCACGGTACTCACAGTACTCATGTTACTCATGAGTATCCGGATTACTCATGAGTAACCTATTATGAGTACAAACACCAATTAAAACTTTGATTTATTTGTATTTACTTAGAAAAGTAAAAGTAAAAAAAAAATAGTATATCAGAAGATTTTTTAGAATTTGAAGAATCTCTTTGGGATTATGATCTGGTTGTAGTGATGCTAGATGGTTAGTAATCTGTTTACATAATTTCCAAAATTGGTAATGGATTCTCGCATTACCTTCTGGTTATAGAATAAAATTACCAATTTAGGTAGTAAACAGCATTTTTAAATGGCTAATATCACTATAGAAAATATAGACAAAAAAAAATTTCAAAAAACCAAACATCAAAGTAATCACAGATCTGCCAATGTAATTAAATGTTGTAAATAACTGCAATAGAAAGTAAAATTAAATAACAATTAAATTGAATTCTTATACACTTTTATTACTTATCTATAATCACAGACAAATCTGGACAAATTGCTGACTCATTGACAAACATTATTGTAAATCAGGGTTGGCAAATGTGTGGTCCATTGGCGATCCATCAGGCCCATTAGTGTAATACTTTAATCCATATTTTAGTATTTTATTAATGGCAATGGACCAGTCAATTTGCTAATCCTGATGTAAATAATATGAGCCTTGATCAAGATATTGTGTATATAAAAAGACTTTTTTGAAAAGTTGCAAGTATTCATATTTACACTGTTATCATGAAAATTTGATTATTATTAATATTTAAAATTATTTATTTTACACACAACTTTTTATTATTCAAAGCAAACACAATATCTTGCATCTTGATGTATTGATTTACCAGAAGGCTGGTATAATAGCAATATAGTCACTCCATTATTTGATGATTGTATGTTGAAATTAACAGAATTTGTCCTTTGGCAGTAATTATTTACAAGACTTATTTTTTGTGCTTTTATTTCATATTTTAACTAACTTTTATGGCCATTATTCTTAAATAGTGATGAGTTTTTCAGCCAAATACGGAAGACCATTGCAAAAAATTCCAAGAAACATAAAAAATATGATGGATTATGTCATTCACCAGTTCCATTGAATTTACATACATAGAAACTGCCACTACCACAGATCAGAGTTGGCAAATGTGTAGTCCATTGGGGATCCATTGGTGGTCTATTGGTGATCCATTGGTCCATTAGTGTAACATTTCAACTATATCTAGTATTTTATTAATGGCAATGGACTGGTCCAAAGTCCATCAATTCTCAATGGACCAGTCAATTTGCCAACTCTGCCACAGAGGCAACCAAAAAAATGAAAGATTTACCCAAATTGCATGAATCCATATCTATTATGTTTCGACAACTGGTAGCCTCCTCTCACTTCCAATGTGAAATGAGGTCAAAAATATACCAATATTAGCTCTTCAATTTTGTGGTGAGTAAATTGACTTTGAATTATTATTTGTCATCATGTTGTAATAGGACTAACAGCAAAATCATTTTTACCAACTTATGTGGAAGGAGTGTGACCAGTGATATCCTTGGGTTTTAAAATTTAAAATTCTGGGACATACAAGCCTTACCCAAATTCATAATCGCAACATCATACATGCTAACTTTAAGGGCAAGTTAAATTATTTGTAATCAGTTGATTTATATTCTATAAATGACTGATTTTAAATTGTCTTTATTCTTGAAGGATCGCCCAATAGAATTACATGAATCTTATTAGAAAAGGCACATAACTCACTTTTACAAAATTGAACTCAATAATTTATCTAACATATGGGTGATTTCTAGAAAAATGTGGTAGAAACATATAATAATTTTTTTTTTTTTGAGTAACAGTCCTTGCAAAATTATGTTTTTGATAAACTCAATTCTGGTCAGAGAGGTCCCTAACCACATATTCATAGCAATCCCCCATATTAATAATATAAAATTGAAATTTATTTTCATCCAAATTGCTTCTTAAATTAGTTTAATCAAATTTGATGATAATTTAAATGTAATAGATATTTATCTTGTGGTGGAATATGCCATCATCAAAATAAATAAATTGAATAGTTTTATTTTTATGATGATCCATATAAGTTTGATGCTTTTTAGTTTGCTTAATGGTTTCAAAGGCTCTATCTAGTTAAGACATGTTGATATAGTAGATGTTAGGATATGAAATCCAGATATCACAATTCTCAGATATCTGTAGGTTAGAGTGGTCTATATATGATTAAATATAATTTGATTATAGAGTAAGTTTAATTTTAATTTCTTCTTTTTGAACAGGAAGTTTAACCTCAGTACTCATGAGTTTTTCAAAGGAATTTGAAGTCCATGGACGAATTATTTCTTGAGGAACAGACATAAATTTTACTTGAGAAAACTTAAGTGGTTTCATTAGCATTGCTTGACCATCTATCTATCTAATCCCTCTCCTACAAGCTGCATCACTCTAATTGTTTTTCCTATATATGCATCTGAAGTAGCTGAATCAAATATTTCATAAAAGAAGCTTTCTCCAATTTACATTTAATTCTTGGCTGAATCAACTCATGAGACCTTCATGTACATATGTAAACTCAATAAGTCAGTCACTCAATAAGTTGGTTTACTCAATAAGTCAGCCATATGAGCTCACCCCCACATGACCGACTTATCAAGTTTACATATGTACTCGGAATATAATGAATATCCTTTAAATGAAAGGTTTGATTACAAGAGGAGTCAAAGGTAAAATATCACATGATTTCATATTTCTCATCATGTGATCTAAATTTAGCAATTTTTATTGGTGAATATTTATTTTATTTTTAAAATTTTTTTTTAACAATAGGAGAGAAATTATCTTCTATTGTAAAATTTCGGAATATCGATAAAAAATTTTGGGAATCGGCCATTTTCCTAGCGAAACAAAATTCATTGCCAAGCTCTTTCTTTGCTTTTTTTAATAAGTTCAAGCAATAAATATTAATTAAAAAGACTAGTTGCCTAAGTAAGAAATCATGCAAAATACATATGACAAACAGGTCGCAAATATTTATTTTCCGGCTACACACGTGTATCTTAACACATTTCGCATCCTGCCTGCCTATTACAATTTAAACTATTCCAAATATGATTCAGCCACGATTTTGATTTGCAGAGTTTGACAACACTTGATGTCAGGCGACCTCTACTTTGCCAATAAAAGCAATAAAAAGCCAAAATCTCCACATTAATTACTAATAAATCTATTGAATTAAAATTGAATTACTGAATTAATTCTAACGAATTAATTTATTGAAAAAGCTTTATTATTATTGTTTAATTATTTAACGATTTCTAACAAAAGAAGGCTAGTGACGTTATTGATTACACCATATGTTTGTAACCGAGTAAATAACTTTATTGTGACAATTTAGAGCCAATTGCGCCGAATTTCACACACACACATATATAGATGGAAAATTTGGCGTTTGTTTTTTTAAAAACGTTTTTCGAAGAAATCTTCAAATATTTTTAATGAAAAATGAAGTTTGCTAAAGTATTACAATCTGATTCTGTTCCAGAATGGAAGAGCAAGTAAATTATTCAATCAATAAATCAATCAATCCGGTCGATCGATCGATTATACTTTTATTAATTTATATTTTATTAATTTATATTTTATTAAATTTTTAGATATATCAATTATAAAAAATTAAAGAAATTATTGGGTCGTATAAAAAGAACGAGTTCGAAAGGACGCCTAGGTATTATTGAGGGTTCTTTAGCAGCACAATCCTCATCATCAAATCTGAAAAAAAAATCGAGTCTTATCATCGACAATGGAAAATCACCTTTGGAACAACCTCCAATGCAATCAATACAACCACAATCTTCTTCATTATCAAGCCCGAAAAAAAAATTAAAACTTATCACAAATGATTTTCCATCACCAATAATGCAATCACCAATACAGACTTATCCAGCATCAACTTCGAAAAGAAAATTAAATTTTATCACCGAGAAGGAGGGATGCTTCGAATCTCCGACAGAAACCCTACAAAAGCTACAACAATTTCCACTACGACAAGATAAATCGATGCAACAAAACTTGAGATCAAGGCCGTCATATAATAATGGACTCATTAGAAAATTTTCTGACATGATTACACCTACAAAACGCACTAACAATGATTTTTGTAAATAATTTTTAATGAATTTAATAATTTAAATATTCAATAATAATAATGTTTATTTATCATCATCATCATCATCATCATCATCATCATCATCATCATCACTATTATTATTATTATTATTAGATAAATCAAATAAATTAATTTCGGTTGAAACATTATTTGATCAAGTAACAAAAGAAGAACAAGATTTTTTCTTGGCTCTTGAAGAAGAATTATTAAAAATTTGTGAGTTCTATGAAAGTAAGTCTTCAGATTATTTATAACCTAATCATGTTCATCCAATAATGACATCTAAATATTCTTGTTTGTTTTAATTAAAAAAAGTAAAGGAAAAAGAAACACTTAATCGTTGGGAAACTTTGAAAGAATGTTACCAAGATATTCAAGAACAAGTGGGTAATTTTTTTTTAGGTGGTGTAGTACAAAAAACTCATGCGCTAAACCAATGACAATTTATTAGATTAAAAAAGCATCTAAACAAAGAAAACAAGAAGCAAAATGTAAAAGAGCAATAAAAAAAGCCATACTAGAATTTTATAGAGGTGCCGAATTATTAAGAAATTATCAGGTAATTTTTGATCGTTTGCTTTGCTGATTTAATGATTTTTAGATTTAAATTTTAAATATAAAATTAATTTTTTTACAAGGTTTTGAATAAGACTGGATTTGCTAAAATATTAAAAAAATATGATAAGCTCTCATCGCTAAATGGAGCTGAAGTATACATGCCAAGAGTTATTGCGTGTAATTTTAGCAAGTCTAATGTTGTGAATGATTTAATTAAAGAAGCCGAGGTAAATATTTCAAATCATGATAAATTAATAATGTGAAATAAATGAAATGATAATTAATCAATTTATACGTGTTTTGGGGTTGTTGAAAAATAGAATTTTTATATAGATAAATTTGAGGGAGGACTTAGAAGACAAGCAATGAAAAAATTAAGATTGCCAAATAAGCAAACTGTAAGACATATTCTGTTGAAGTGTAAAAATTATGAATTAATCTTTAAATATTCATAATTAATTCATATAATTACGCATATAGACTTATCATTCGGTGTCATCGCGTGTTGGTATGAATATTGGATTGTCGATACCGATATTGTTTAAAAGTTTAGCTTTAGGTAAGAGTATTTTATTGATTTTATTTATCAAACGCTATTAATAATTTAACGACCAATCAATCAATCTTACCACTATTATTTTTAGCAAAATCTAATAGCAATGAATATGATGATGATACATTGAGTAAACTGTTACTTATATATTCTGGATTTTTTTTAATAATAATCTTTGCATTATTAATTGGAACGAATATGCTTGTATGGGAAAGATCAAAAATAAATTATAAATTTATTTTTGAATTTGATCCAAGAAATAATTTGGATTTCAAAGAATATCTTGAGGTAGATAAGTGTTTACTGATTTTTTATTATTATTTTATTATTATATTATTAGCTCTATTTTTAATTTTGTTTTTCCTTTATCTTTGTTTTTCTCTGATTTCAATGTATATATACCTGATATAGTTGCCATCACTTATGTTGCTGCTATTAAGTTTAGCAATGTATGCAACGTTCTCATCGGATGTGAAATTCATACATCAAGAAAATTTTGTATGGATATTAACTGTGGTATTTATTTCCATAATATTCTGTCCATTAAAAATATTACATTACAATTCTAGAAAATGGATGATCATTGTATTGGTATGGGAAATTAATGATTACGCACTAGTATATCTGTTCTGTTCTCATTGAATTGAGAGTAGTAGTTGACTTAAAAAGAATTTTTTTTTTATCATTAATAACATTAATATAGTCGAGAATTCTTGGATCATTTTTTTTTCGAGTAGAATTTAGAGATTTCTTTATTGCTGATGAACTTAACAGCATAACATATTCTTTATCTAATTTATTATTATTGATAACAATTAGTAAGTTTCTTTTTTCTTGCTTTATTTTTTTTTGAACAAAAAATTTATAAAAAAAAAATATATATATGTAAAGAACTTTATACTAATAATCTACTCCTTATACGCTTTCTAATCTTCAATTAATTTTCACATCTTTCACGTCATGCTCTCTCTTTTCTATAACAATAATAGAAATACCAAATCCGCAGACTTCAATATATTTTGCGCTGATCGGTGTGGCAGCACCATGGTTTCGATTTTTGCAATGTTTAAGACGTTACAAAGACACCCGACAACCTTTTCCACATTTTGTCAACTCTCTAAAGTACTTTACAACAATAATTTCCATCATACTATCATTTGCCTATCGTTTAACAAAAAACAACAGCGACTACTCGTCTCTTAAATATTTATACATTTTCTCACAAGTAATTTCTTCTACGTATGGTTTCCTTTGGGATATTAAAATGGATTGGTCATTGTTTGATATCAACAGTGTAAATTATTTATTAAGAGATGAGTTACTCTACAAATATAATTCGTTATACTATTTTGCTATTTTGACAGATTTATTTTTGAGATTTGACTGGATTTTGATTTTGGCGGCAGATCGTTATTATAAAAATTATTTCAATTTTTTGATGTTTATTATTTCATTTGGGGAAATCTTGAGGTTAGGAGAATGATTGCAATAATGAACAGAATATATTTATTGTTGGATGACAAAATAATGATTTACATCTATTATTTAATAGGCGTTGGCAATGGAATTTTTATCGTGTGGAAAATGAAGTAATTATTTACAGTAAAGTGTTTTTATTGTCATCACCATTTATTATTATATATTGATTGATTATTATTTGTTTATATTTTTCTTAGCATATAAATAATTGTGGGCAATTTAGAGCAATCAAGGAAATCCCAATACCTCATTCACAAAAATTCAATATTATAATCGATCGAAATAGTAATGACGTCAATAATATTGATAAGAAAAATCTGTTACCACCTTTACCTTGGACGAAACCCACCATCTACAACAATAATATCAACAACGTTAATAATAATAACAATGATGTTATTATTAAAAATAAAAATAAAGATATTAAAAATTGGAGGGATTTTGAACCAAAACTAAATATTAACAATTCTGATGACAGTGATGATGATAGTGATGAAGCTAGTGATAATGAAGTTGATTATGTCGTTGAAAAAAATTATGATGAACATGATGATGATGGTAGTGATGATATAATAGTTGAGAAAAAGGTTTTAAAAAAAACAATTGTTTAATTATTTAACATACAATTATTATGTTAGCATGTATAGCATGCATACTTTATGCATAGGCTATAGACATATACATCTTTTATTAGTTGTAAATATAATTTTACTTTTTTTAAAAAATAACGTAGATCGTGTCCACGTGACACTGGTCATGAAAAAAAAAACAAGTTCGGTGCGGGAACCTTTAATCCAAAATCCCGCCCGGAATATATACATACAAAGGCTAGTGACAATGGCAAAAACTTTTACCCGTTTCATTAGAACAAAAACTTCTTTCTATCCACTTGAAAATTTGCTATACCCCCATGTGTTTGAAAAAACTTTTACCCGTTTCAAAATTTGTAACACCTTACTATTACCTTAAAAAATAAAAGTTCTTTTTCATAAATTATATTTTAAAAAAATTTGCTTCATTCAATCAATTAAGTTTTAATATATCTGAATGTTGTTCATTTGGTGATATTCAATCAATTATTTGTTGATTATTCGGTGATAATAAATATCCAAGAAATTTTATCAATTCCGTATCCAACTTGGCCTCACACATTTTATTCAAAGTATGAACAGCTTGCATAAATTTTCCCCTCGTTATTTTATTATTACTACTTTCCTCTCCTATTATAGAAATAGAAGCAAATTAATTGAATGGAATGGGTAAAAATTAATTGGATTAATTAGAAAGTGAACAACCGAATTGAAATAATTAATAATCAATATAATTCGGGTCCTGGACTTCCTAGTACTACAATTATTCATTTATTATTATCACTATTTTATATTCAAGGGCAATGTTGAAATTTCGCCGTGTAACTAGGACAAAAATTATTAAATTTTTTTCAAGAAGCCACCTATCAGATCAGAATGAACCCTATTTTTTTTTTTTTTTCAGGATAATAATAATTGAGGATTTTTTAAATATTGTTCTCAGCCCTTGGTTGTGGCTGTACAATTTTTCTCGCCCATTTTTAGGAGGGTCAAAAGGTAATTTACGAATTGTCAATAAAATAATAACCAAAATTCAAATGTTGTAAATAAATAAATAAATAAATATTAAGTATTACCAATGAAAAGCAATAGAAGCATCAAGGAAATACTAATTTTGACAACAAAAAAAGTTTGTCTTTTATTATTGTTACTATATGTTATACACACACACACACACAACACACACACACACACAATAGAAGTTTGAGGGAATGAATGCATTTCTAAAAAATATTTTTCCGTGTTGTTTTTTTTAGTGTGCTGCGTACCTGTGTACAAAAATTGATTGGCAAAATTTTATACATTTTTGTTCTTTTTGTTCTCTTTTACTCTTAGGTGGCTTACGTCATCACACCACTGGGAATGGCCAATTTTGGATACAAAAAAAAAAGAGTACACGGGGCATTGTTATCTGTAACGATATTAATATTGTTCTTTCTTTTACTTAATATTTCATCTTTAATTATTATTGTTCTTTATTTTACTTAAATATTTCATATTTAATTATTTTCAAGAGCATATAAAAAAAAATATACCATTTAGTAAAAATGCACATTAAAGTTAAAGAAGAATTATTGTTAAAAGAAGACATTTTTAAAGATGTACAAAAGGAATTTGAACAAGATATACAAGAAAAAGATAGTGATCCTTGTGATAACGATAACGGTAAGTATAATTAATAATTATTGATATATTATATAAAATATGATATAAACCATATGAAATAAACCATATTAAAATTAACACAAATATGAATAGAATCATTTAGATTAGATCGAGGAAAGGATTTGGCCAATGATTTGAAACATTTGTTAAAAGAAAGCAGGTTTAATGATTTTTCAATAATATGTGGTAAAGATAGAAAGAAAGTCAAAGGTTGTAAAGCGATATTAGCAAGCCGGTGTAACATTTTCAATTCTATTATATTATCAGACACTGGGAATAAAAATGAGGTTATATTTTCGGATATTGAGCCAGAAGCTATGGAGATGGTTTTGGAATTTTTGTATACTGGAGATGTTGAAGAGTTCATCACATTTACAGCTGCTGCTAATAATAATAGTAGTAGTAGTAGTAGTAGTAGTAGCAGTAGCAGTAGCAACAGCAGCAGCGTTAATAGTAGCAGCAGAAGTAGCAGAAGTAGCAGTATCAGTAGTACTGGTAGTTGTCAAGCTAAAGAATTTGATATTTTAAAAATAATTGAAACATATTATGCAGCATTTCAATTGAAAATTCACAGTCTTGAAAAAGTTATTAATGAATATGTAAAAAAAAGATTAAAAAGTCCTATTGCTATTGACAAAAACTTGGCACCGAAATTATTGTCAGGTTTGATAGAAAAATTCATGTATAATAATAAGAAGATGGTGACGAATGGTAGAAATGAGGTGGAGGATCTTGCAGATTTTTTGATAGAATACATATCAAAGATTCCATTTGATTTAATCGATCTTGATTCAATTTCGTTTGACGCTTTGGAATTTTTATTGGCCAATACTCTAGGTGAATCTTTTAAAAAATATTTTGGCACAAGAGAAATTGATTTAATTTCTTTTATTTTACTTAAAATAACAAAATCAATCCTGAACAACAACAATAAAACCTATAATGATGATGGTTATGATTATTGTTATGATGATTATGATGATGGTTTTACTTTTTCTTTTGATCCCAATGAAATAAAAAATACTTGTAGTCTGAAAAATGCAAAGAAATTCAATCCCAAAGATTTATCATTTTTTAAAAATAAGCAATTTCTTAATTTGGTAGGAACTAACAAGTTCAAAAACCAGTTTGACAAATTCGAGCCATTCTTAAATATTCAAAAATTGGAAAAGTCAGACATGGTCATATTAATTCAACCATTAAATTTGTTTTCTGAAAATAGAATCAGAAAATATTATCAAGAGTTAGCATTTGAAAAGAATGACATGACGGAAACGCGTGGTTTTCCGTATATTAGATGGAAATCTGATTTGACAGAATTTATTGAATGCTCTGAAGGTATTGATGATGTTGATGGATACGGAGGTGAATTTGCGATAAAAAGTGTATCAGATTTCAAAACAGCAAAATGCATATCAACAAATTTATCAATGTCAGGGGATGTAATTTATCAATGGGAAATCAAAATAGAGAAATTGGATAGTAGCAATAATAACAATAGTAATAATAGGGTTTGGATAGGTGTTTGTGATCAAGAGTGTGCAGAAAGTTGCATAGGAGCAAATGAGGATAAGATGGGAAATAGTTGGAGTTTGTGCACGGATGCACGCATATATAAGGATCGAGTCAAAAGTTATCATTTTGCAGAATCGGACGAAACCAGTTCAATATCCAAGAAATTTTTTTGGAGTATTTTGTATGGGATAACCGAGGGAGTTAAGATTGTGATGACTGTTGACATGACAAAGAGAACTTTAAAGTTTGAATTCGACGGGTACAAATGTTCTTTGGATGGGAGATGGGGCACCGAACTTCCGACTAAATTATATCCATTTTTGGCATTTGAAAGTCCTGGCAGCAAAGTAATTGTAAAACAATATGCTAATTGGCGCGAGGAACCAACGGGAACATTTATATTATTTTGAGGAAAACAATAATTTATATTTAATAGATATGATAAATAACATTATTATATAATTGGTCTATAATTATAATTAGTACGATTATAAATTATTTTTTTTTAAACATTAGCAACAACATTGAAAATCATTTACACCAAAACAAAATTTAATTTTAATTTTAATTAAAAAATTAAAAATTTTTTAACTTATTACACAATGTTTAGATCGCTAGTAAATAAATTATGCAAATATAAATGCAAATAAAAAAGATCCCCGATAAAAAATCCTATTTTATTCTCGACTTTTTTGCCAAATTCTTTGCATCAAGCATTTCTATCACACTTTTTTTTTTATTGCACTCCAAAGACGTCGTAATCAAAAAATCTTTTGAGCTAAAGAATAAAAGGTTTAACATTAAAAATTTTTTTTTAATTCCTTGGCGAATAATTTCTACATGTGCTTTGAAATTTTTCAAAGATTCTAGATTTTACCTGTAAAGGAAATATCGGTACCTTGTTTAGAAAAGATCTGCTCATTTCCGAAGAAAAATTTTAGCGTATATGAAACCCAAAAATGTATCTAAATGAACAAAGATTAAGATAAATGTATCTAAATGAACAAAGATTAAGATTATGGTGTGCATATTGTAACATTTTTTATTAATTAATAAAGATATTTATTTTACTAATTAATTTTGTTCAATTAATGCTACACAATGAAGGTTAAATAATTCTTCAGATAGTAGTAATGGTAACATTATATAATAAAATTATTATAATTTGTAAAACAGTTTAATTTTTTTTAAATTACACAAGTATTATAAACTTCTAGATTGACGATCATTATTTAAAGTAAAAAAAACATAATAATAAATGATCAAAATTAATTAAAACAAGAATTTGACCAATTAAATCGGAGAAAAGAGTTTTGTCAGGGATCAATCATTTATATTAGCAGCACCTAAAGTTCGAATATTGTTTTATTAATTGAGAGTATGTGTTGATCAAGGGGTGTTAATTAAGTGTTAATTAAATGTTAATTGGGTTGGGGGTTAATTAGGTTAGAAGATAATTTAGAATCAATTAGGAATCAATTAAGAACTTTTTTATTGTTATTGTTATTGTTATTGTTGTTGTTGTTGTTATTTAGTTATTTTAGTTATTGGTTCTGTTGTTGATTTTGTTAAAATTTTTTTTGTTGTTTGATTATAGTTATAGTTGTGGTCATTATTATTATTATTATCACAGAATTATCGATTATAATATCCAAACACAGACAATTGTAACAACTGACGGAGAAATGTTTAATTATTATCTTTAAACCAAATTTGATGTAATTATTTATAGTTATTAAGTTAGCCGAGTGAGTTACTAATAATAAAATATTCTTATGACATCAATCTGAACAAATAATTATTCTTGTTGCATTAGTTTTTGGAGAAAAACATTCACACACATTACGGACATTGCGTATGTGTGCAAACTGTAATTACTGTAATTTTGTGTGTGTGTGTGAATTGGTAATTTTTTTTTTTTTTTGGTCCCAGAAAAATTGTTGAGCAGTAATAGTGGTGACGTTTGTTGTGGTAGTGGTTGTTGTGGTGGTGGTGGTGGCGGCGGTAACAACAACAACAACAACAACCACGAATGGATTGTTTTGTTAATTTTGCATTTACAATTATTTTTTTATTTGTTTGTTTTGTGGCTTAAATCTAATTTTTTAAAGTTCGTAATTGTCTTATGATATTATCGCTATATTATTGTGTCTAGACTTTCTTGGCTTTGTTACAAGATTTAAATGAAAGGAGAGGGAGGGAGGGAGGGAGGGAAGGAAAGGGAATAAAGGCAAATGAATTGGGTGGATGAGTGAGTTAATTAAAAATAAATTGCGGATTATAGAATAAGCATATAATATATTTGAATTTGAAATTGAGAATCTTGATATGAATTTATGCAAGATTGTCAATAAAGAATAGTTTTACCATTTTGACTAGTAGTTAAACACAATGACATTCACCGTCAATTATTATTGTGCTTTCTTTATTGCTTGTTTCCAAAATAATCAATTAAAAAGATGTCAAAAGATAACAGGATTAATTAATAATCAGTCAGTTGAATCCTTTAAAAAAGCTTGGCGATTAATTAATCAACCTTTCTTATTTAGATGTTTCTCCGTTCTATTGTAATTTTATTGATAATAATATTAATAATAATAATAATAATAATAGTAATAACAGTAATAATAATAATAATAATAATAATAATAATAGTAATGACGATTAATTAATTACTAATTTGGAATTCGATAAAAGCAACTTTTGCAAAAAAATCCGACAACAAAATTATCACGGACAAGTTGAACTAAAATTGGTTAACTAGTTGTCGTCATGTGAATTATTAAATTTCCAAATATCGGAATAATTTTGCAAAGAAAAAAAATATTGTATTTTATAATTGAAATAAAGTAAGAATAATATTTTTATTAAACTTTATTAAGTTAAAGTAATTATTTATGAAACTATGAGGTGACGGCGGAAGCTCTTCTTTCTCAATTTTTTAATATTTAATATTTTCGCGTTTCAATTCGTCAAACGTTACACTAGAGTAAAATATATGAACATGCATTTTTGTGCGTAGCATTTTTTGTTATAATATAGAAGTCCATTTATATACAGTGTGTGTACACATATATAATATACATATACGAATTTACTTATTTTCCATTCATTTAAAAAACTAGTAAGTCTAGTTTAATAATCGTACATTAATAAAAAAAAATTTTTAGTTTATCTGTCTTTTTTGTCAACGATAAATGAACTTCCGTAATGGTCATTTGTTCTTGTTAAAATTACCATTTAAATTTTGTGTGTGTATGTGTGTGTGTGTGTGACTCAGTTTGAATTAAAAACATATTTTCGCTTATTGCTAAAAAAAAATTTTCTTTTTCCACTCTAAGTGAATTTCATATGACAATTTGATTAAATGCCATGTTACATTATTTTATCTCAATTATCTTGAATTCTCAGAATCAATTGAATTTTAATTTAAATGATAACATATGGTGTGTTGTAAATAAATAAATAAATAATATTATCGGTGTTCTTTTTTGAGATAAAGGAGTTTGAAATAATTTAAATTCAAATTACAATACATATATAAAAAAAAAAAAAAAAAAAATTAGATTTAACTTTTTCTTTTCTTTTAAAAGTTAGCAAGGGAAAATAAATAATCGATGAATTGTGATCAGTTGACCTTTGTAATAAAATTTATTTTATTTTCAATATTATTCTAAAAAATCATACCACTCGATAAAGTACACGCACACGCACACATCAAGGAATGGTTAGTGGCAAAAATCAAAATTTTTTAATTAATAATAAATTAATTTTAATTAAATTTAAATTTTTTAATTCGATTGAGAAAAAAAACCTAATACACACACTCACGCGTGACAAAATTTATTTAAAAGGTATAAAATATTAATTAACGTTCATATAATACTGCTTAAAAGGAATTTTGAATAATGGACTGGTGGATGATATTATAACATCGATATGCTATTAATAGTTCTCGTTTGAAATAAATTTGATTTGAACAGGTGATTTTTTGTCAGGAGGCTTCTGAAAACATGATTGGTGAATTTTGGCGATGATGATGATAATTTGTTTCAAAAGACGGAATCTGCAGATTTTACATGCCGTAGTTGAATTCCTACATCGATGTTGGTGGTAGCGAACGGATGATGTAAATTCGGGTGAAAGAGACTAATAACAATCATAATAATAAATAATAATAATAATAATGAAGCGAGTAGTTGATGAAAGAAACAAAATAAAACAATGAATAAATGCAGTGTTTGTTGATGGTCGAGAACAATTTTTTGAATAGTAAATAGCTAGTAAATAAAAAGATATAAATAAGATTTAATTTATTGGAGATGCAGGATACAGTCTGAGTGTTTAGGGGGAAAAGTTAAGGGCGTAGGAGAATGAAAGAAGGGTGTTTGGTGATGGATGTCAGACATCATCATCTAACACTCTGTTTTTGTTATTATATAAATATAGGTAAATTAGCTAGATTATTTGTTTGTTAAGTAAAATTCATTGGTGTCAGTCAAATAATGCATGTATTAATTATTTTTTTATTGAATTTCATTTGAAGTTGAATTTTGTATTTTTTTTTTTCCCCATTCATAATTGTTAACAGTTGTACAAAATTTATTGTTTATCCACTACAGAAAATTATATGCAACCAGTATATTAATTATATATATCCTTACATTATTATTATATATATATTCTTACACTATTATCATCTTTCTTTATACATTATCTTGTATACATTATCTTATATACATTATTGTCTTTTTTTATACATTATCTTTTTTTTTTTTTTTTTTTTATGCATTACATATACACATTATAATTTTTTATATTTTCACACGGTCCAAAGAATTTGTTTTTTCTAAAGAATGGTTCAATTCGTAGCTTTCTGCGTATTAGGATAAAAATTTCAGTGTGTATTGCATTGCAAACATTCATGGCTTCATCGGGATTTTTCAGAGACGGTTTTTGCTGTAAAAAAAAAGACGTCCCACGTTTTACATTTCGAAACAAGATTTTTTTCAAGATTTATAAAGCAGAGGTCAGAACGGTAGGGCAAAATGAAGAAATTAAAAACAAGCAAATTTAGAGATAAATTTTTTGTAAACTAATGCGAATAATTAATTAATTTTAATTAGCTGTATATTAAAAAAGAAGTCGGATTTTTTTCTCCCCATTCATTTTTAAAAAAAACGCATTTTCTAGAACCATTTATAGTAATTCATTCTAATTACTACAGATACAAATATTTTAATTTTATTATGTTATTATTTTATTATTATTATTATTATAATTATTATTATTATTAAAAATATTAAAAATATTGTTAATTTGTTGCCCATGACCTAAATTATAAGATTGATAATGAAATAATAATAATAATGCATTTTTATATTTCCAGGTATATTCAATTAAGGATTCTTTACCCATCTAAATAAACATTTAATTTATTTTTTATTATTTAGATGGGTTCTTGTGAGTTCTTCAATGGATTCTCAAAGACCTACCTATATGAATTGTTTGATTATTTTTTTTTTTATTAAGCAAGTTTTTGAGGGGTTTTATTTTAAAATAATAATGCAAAAAAAAACACATCGATCGTTACTGTATTGGATATTTCCAAATTTGGTATATTCCCTGTTCTAATAATTTAAATTTTTTTTATTAATATTAATTAATTTTTATTTATTATGCTTATTTTAAAACGTATTTTAAAATATTTATATGGTATTTTTTACACATGGTCGTCACGTTAAACTAAATATTTATTATAGTTTTGAACTTTATATAATCTGATTAATTTTTTATATATAAAAAGAGATGAAATTTCAGTAAATTTTAAAATTTTTTTTTTATTTTTTTAAGAAATAAAAAAATCATCTTTAACAATCTTGTATGTCCTATTAAAAAAAAAGATAATATTATTAATAATATCAAATATCAACATTAGACACTGAACTTTCATTATTATTAATATTAATTCATAATAATAATAATAATAATAATAATAATAACAAACAACAACAACCATAACAATAATAATAATAATAGCATCAATTTATTGCAAAGATTTTTTTATAAAGTTAAAAAATTTCAACAAATTCATTAAAATTAATAATATATTAATAATATATATTTAATCATCACAATCACAACGAATAAATCAGCAACAACGTTACCAAAAACATTCAACAATATGGTAGCCAACGAATCAATCAAATCAATCCAATCCTCATCTCTGGACGATTTGGCCAACGCTCTAATGACCAATCTGGATAGAAATAAAATATTCCCTCCATTCTATAACGATCCCGAAGAATTAATAAACCCTTCGAAAATAAAAACTACCGGTCCACCAAGACCCCCAAATGGATTTCTGTTGTGTCGCAAAAATGTTCACAAACAAGCAAAAGAACGCGGTATATGTAACATGAGGGCCATAAGCAAGGTCACCGGCATTCTATGGAGAACTGCTTCGACTGACGAGAAAGAACAATATGAAAAACTAGCTATCGAGGTGCAAAATTTACATTCTAAGAGATATCCTGGTTACAAGTATAAACCAACCGCAAGAAATAATAATGGTAATAATAATAATAATAATAATAATAATAATAATAATAATAATAATAATCACGGTAATCATCATCATCATCATCATCATCATCATAAGAATAACAATAATTATAATAATCATAACAATGCTAATATTACTCAAATTCCAACTCCAATTACAACTCCAATTTCAACTCCAGCTACAACCAACGTAATCCATCATCATAACATTTCTAATAACAATCTTATCAATCATAAAACTGCAAAGAAAACTTTGAATTTATATCACAATCACCATCACCATCAACCATATTATATTCCACAACCTATGTTTGTCTCTAATCCTATAATGCCTCAACAACCAATCATAAACGGTTACGAAATACCGGAGTTTACCCAAGAAGATTTTCAAATGTTATCTTTATTTTTGTAATGTGTATATATATACTACCGATGACGTTTGATTATCATACTATTTGATGACATAGATAATAATAATAAATGAACACGATATAGATAACGAACGAGTAATGTATATGACAAATATATATATAGACGACGATGATTACGATTTTATTTATTTTGATAATTAATGATGAAATATCGTTGTTTAATTTTTCCTATTTAATTTTTTAATATACATATTTTAAAAATAACCATCATCCTTACTTTAATATTTACGTAAATGTTTAAAAATTTGAAAAAAAAGCAGCAACAGGCAGAAAGAATTATAATATATTATTATATATATATATAAACAAACACACATAAACAAAAAGAGTACAAATCGAGAGTAAATAACAACGCAAAACACAAACAACTAACTACTATGATTTTTTTAAGACAAAAAAAATTTATAATTAAAAAAACAAACAATTAAAAAAAAAAATAATAATAATAAATTTAATTAATTAAAAAAATTTAATATTAATAATACTAATTATATTAATTAATAAATAATATACTAATTAATACACACTAATAATAATAAAATAAATATAATACTTTAATAAAAATCAATTTTTTTTACAAATTTGGATAATATTTTATTTTTTTTGTGAAATTTTAACTAACTCTTTCTTAAATTTGATATCGGCTTTTCTGTCATAAAAAAAATTTCATTGATAAAAAAAATAAATAAAATAAATAAAAATAAATAAAAATAATAAAAATAATAAAAATAATAATTGAACAAAATAAAAAAAATTTAATAAAACCAAAGTTCGCTAGTGTAAATATATATGGGTTTGAAAAGTGTAAATGCTTGTTAAGCATTTACAAGAAGTACTGTACACCATAAATATTGTTCTTAGATAATAACAACCAATAATTTCGTTTTATTTTTGCCAAAAATTTCTGTTTTTTTAATTAATCTGGAAAAGTTTATAACCTTTGTAAACAAAAAAAATATAATAATAATAGCAACATTTGATATGTTCTGCTCAACACACTAAAACGTTAACATTTATGTTAAAACGTTAACATTAGTAATAAAACGCTAACATTAATAATAAAACGAATGCTAGCACAGGTGTTTCAGGTGATCTTCTTTCTTGTAATACGAAAAATATTAAAAAGAAATGTTCAAAAGAAAATTAATAATTAAATTCGGAGACAACAAACATTCTTTTCCTTTAATATGTATTTTGAATGAATGAATTCAACGGACAATCCATTTTTGAATGATTCCGATTTTCCCAAATAAAAACTCACCGAAATTTTAATAATCATCTACTAAATTCTTGCACGTAAATCATTATTATTTTATATGCAGTGTACTACTCTACTATTACAGAAAAGTTTAGTGCTATATGATTTAAAACTCTAGGGAGAAACAACGAAATTATATTGTTGTATTTTAATTAGTGTTAATAATATTTCCGTGTTTTGTGCTTGTGTCAAAAAAATTGCTTCATCGTACGTAAACTGTCAAACTTTATTGTAAAGTTTGTACGAGATTTGAATACGAGATTTGAATACGAGATTTGATTGCCAAGTAATTACAAATCGTGTGACACCACACAAATTGATTGTAGATTTCGCATACATACACATTATTATAATAATAATAATAAAATTTCCCAATGCTTAAAAGTTCCGAACGACCCGTAAATTATTCCAAGCTAATTTTGCACAAAAATTTTCAGGGACTCGAATTTTTAGTAATTAATTATCTAAATCTTTAAAACCCTTCTAGAAATTAATTTTAATTATTATATTAATAATGATAATAAAATATGAATATTGAAAAGATTGTGCAGAAGTTAAAGGATGCCAAAATCAAATACAATAACTGCATCAAAAGATTGAATAAGTTTTGAGGATGGTGGTAGAGGTTGAAGAGTAATCAAATGGGTAGGATCTGGAAAAGTGAGGAAAATGGAGAAATGAATTAATGGAAATAGAAAACCAAGCAAGGCATAACAAAATTTAACTTCCATTCAACACTTTTTTTTTTCCATTAATTCATTTCATCCACTGTTCGCGCCTTTCTCTTGATCATTTACTATTCACACGTTACTATTAATGACCAAATGATTCACATACATTCATTATGCAATTTATCTTTTACCCTTTACTCTCAATGTAGACAAGCCTGATGAGCGAAATGACAAATATATTTGAGAAAGTGTTAGACGATGTTCATAATTTCCTGTTTGTAATTTATCCGCTCTACTCTATTGGCTGACTTTAAGGTAAGCACCGTCCTTAATACAGACAGTCTAGGATTTCCAAATTTGGAACTCCATTCTAGAAATTCCCGCTAGACTTTTTTATATTTCTTTGCAAATAGCCAAGAAAAAAAATTTTTTTTTACACACTATTATTGTGATTTCTATTTATGGCAAGATTTTTATGAAAATTTAGGCCAAATTGACAGACTATTCATCGAAGATCACTTCCATAAATCATTAGGAATAAAACGACTAGTTTTTTAAAAAAAATTCAACTGTTGCTCATTACTGCGGGCATGCAATTGGCCTAATTGCTATTTGCAAACATTCTTAACAAATTCAAGGTGATAAAGCATTGAAATGTTGTACTAGTTTAAAGACAACAACAAATGGTTCAAATAATATCAGCCATGTGACCTTCAATGTGAAGAATCTTTAAAACAGCCCTTCATTTTGGAAAGGAGACCATTACCTATGGCCAATCTAAGAAGCATCTGTATCTAGAATTCTGGCTGTTTTCTTACAGTAGTTGGCTATAGTGCTCTTCAAATACCGCAGAGTGCTATTATCATTTACAATGATAATTATTGGCTGCAAAATAGCATTATCCCATTAGAATTGGAATCAAGCCATATAAAAAATTATATATATATATATATGAAAAATGTACAGAAAACAATGTTCACTTTCTATATGGCAAAGTGCTCTTTTCAGGTAAATTCTGGGCGTCTTTTATTTATTTTTTTTCATAGGGAAGTAAATTTGCTGAAGTGAATATTTATACAAAGATTGAATTTATGATGTGCCATTCAATTCAACAGCTGTTTAGGGATTGAAATTTTTGCTCTTTTACCAATTTTTTTAATTTTTGTTAATTTTTGATGCTTGAGTTGGATTATGCGATTTTAACTATAGTTGTTTTTGAGGAAAAATGATTACCGCAACTATTCTCTATATGAATGAACATAAAATAACTATATATTAATATTCCATTTGACTCAAATAATTAATTATGGCATTACTGATCATTTATTAAGAAGGGCAATTATGGTGAACAACTATAATTTTGATCAGATTTCAGCAACTAAAAATTCTTGCTTAAACGTTGTTGTCACAATGCCATATCAATTTCAAGCATTGCTACCGAAACTATTATAGTCAGACATTCAAGGCTTGAAGCTTATTTAGAAATTGTAAGAAAAGAGCTACTTACTAGGAGTCAGAACTGCTGGCAGTGATAGTGTACTGACTTCCACTTTTAAGAATAACAATGATGTAATAATCTTGTGCTTATAATAGGCCACAAAATCGAAAAACAGCAATAATTTGTGAAACTGAAACACAAAATGCTAACAATTATTTTTGCCTCTTCATGGCTTTATGCTAATCCTTTTTAATTAATCATTCATCTAAATAGCTTTGTATCATTTATTTTAAATAAGCAAAGTGCAATTTTCCCTCTTATCCTTTTTGATAAAGAATTCAAAAAAAAAAAAAAAAAAAAAAGAAATTGCTTGATTTAAATCGAAGTGGCAGTTAGCATATGCCAAAATGTTAATAGGATAAAGAATTTACTCGTGATCAATATTAACATCAGTAAAGAAGCAGGAAATTCTAGAAGAAATTTACAGGGTAAAAAATAGAACCAACCATTGAATGAATGGACAAGGAAGAATGCAAAAAACTTGACAAAATTAAAGATGCATTTTAGCTGATAAAGATGACCAGCAGCATCAACCAAGAACTGAGAAAGATAAAAGAAAAGATAAAAAAAAAGCTTTGAGGATAATCTCAAACATCTAAGAAAAAAAGTTGGAAAAAACAAATGCATGTGCACAGAATAATTCCGGGGGTTCAAATGCTTGCTTATCTTATTAATAAATTTTCACCGCAAAAAACAGTTTAGTCTTGATATTTATCTGGGTAAATCAATTCTTGGCGATAATTATCTCTTTAGTGATAAGCAACAAATTTCGATAATTAGTTAATATTCTCCGTTTATATTCGAAGAATCTGGAGATTTATGGATTGCATTGTTACTAGCAATTTATAATGCTTCCCCACCCCGACACGTATATTTATTTATTTAATTATTATTATTATTATTCATGTAATTAAAATCATCTGTACTCGATTTAGTATAGTAAATACGTCACTATTAATTTTTTAATTAGTTACATTTAAAAAAACAAATAATAATACTAAAAATTTAAATTGACCTAAGATCGTTCCGTATTTAATTAATCATTAAACTAATTATTATGAAATAAGCTCACATGTTTGAAAATCCGTATTTTAAAGATTAGCAAGTTGATTAATTATTTTAATTAATTAAATGATTAAATTAATGGCAGGGTCTTAAATCTTTTTTTAATCTTTTTCCCGAGCTCTTTCCAAAATTAAAATACTCTTAATATAAATATTAATAGCAAAGATAACCTTATTATCGGAGGAGGAATGTTGATCAAATAGAATTAAAATTGCTTTTTTAGTTTTAGTAAAGGGAATAAATAAAAACTCATTGATTTCTATTGTGAATGAAAAAAATATCATTTAAATAATCATAAATTTCCCATTCTCTTCAAAAATAAAAAACTTAATATTTTTTCTTTATAAAAATTGCCAAAAATAATTATTATTAAAAAATCAACATTTTTACATTCATAATCTTTTATTGAGCTGTATTAAATATTCATATTACTTATTTTACATACATACATATTATTTATTGCTCATATTATATATAATAATAATAAAAAATATGTCATCTTCACCGCCACCATCTATCGAATCAGCGTCATCATCATCAAATTTAGGTTCACCAGTCACTCCAGCGACAGCTCTTTCAACGTCAATGATAACATCTGATACATCAACAACACCAAGTCACCAATCGCCGTCGTCATCGTCGTCATTAAATGATTTGGCAGATATTTTAATTCAAAAACTTGACAGATCAAAAATTTTTCCTCCACATCTTAATAATCCCGAGCAGTTAATGAATTTGACACGTAGGAGCGATGAACGTCCTCCAAGACCTCCAAATGGTTTCCTGTTATGTCGTAAAAATGTACATCAAGAAGCAAAAATAAATGGGATATGCAACATGAGAGTAATAAGTAAAGTTAGTGGTATGTTGTGGAGAAGCGCCTCACCAGACGAGAAAGAGCAATATGAAAAGTTGGCCATACAAGTGCATAATCTCCACTCTGAAAAATACCCAAATTACAAATATAGACCTAACAATACCATCGTAAACACTAATCTAAGTCATCATCATCATCATCACAATAAATTACCATCTGCCACCTTTTCACCATACGGTTTGCCATCTCCACCCTACTCAAATATCTCAACACCTACAATAGCAACCACGCTACCTTATTTTCATCCAAACCATCATCATTATCCTGGACATCACCATCCAAACCATCACCTTGTAAATCATCACACTAGTCATCAACAACTCAATCATCACTCTCTTAGTCATCACTCGCTCAATAATAATAATCAAAATCATCACCAATTAAGTCATCACTCACCTCTTCCTCATCTTCCTCATCTTAATCACCCTCTTCCACATTCGCAACAACAACTTAAAAACATCACGAAACATCACACCACCAACAATCACATTAATCATCATCAATCACCATCTTCTTCTTCTCATCATCATCCATACGCTAATCATCATCATCACCATCATCAATTTATACCATCATCAACAACAGTGGCTACGAATAATAATAATACACTTTCGCCAATGTTATCATTATCATCATCATTATCTCCTTCTAATACTAATAATACCAATGCTACTACTTCTCCGCCTTCCACTAATACAACATTATATAATTTACCAATTATGAATGAATTAGAATTTTCACCTGAACAAATTGAAATGTTTGTAAGCTACCTATCAACAAACAACAACAACAACAACAACAACAACAACAGCAGCAGCAGCAGCAGCAGCAACAACAACAACAACTATCATAATCGTCAATACTAATTGTTTTATTGTAAATTTTAAATCCGATAATTTTTAATCTATAGTACATTTAATTTAATATTAATATATATATAATTTATCTTTTTTTTAATAAACTAATTTTATTTTACTTTAATTCTAATTTTTAATTTAACTTTAATAATTAACTAATAAATAATAAACACTATCAACTATTTATTTATTTATTTATTTATTTTACGAATGAATGGATGAATAAAATCAATATTGTAATCTTGACAAATAAACCGATTAAATATAATAAATGTATTAAAGTTTGAACCAATTATACAGATAAAGCGAGAAGGGCATGAAAAAATTTTTTTTTCCGATAACATATTTATACATATTAATATTTGCTTTATTTTCCGATTAAACTAATAAATAATTTGATTTTTTGATAATAATTGGAAAATTAAATAAATAATATCAATTTCGCAATTAAAATTTTAATCCTTCGTCGTAAAATTTTTTTTCTTTAAACCAATTAACAATATTCCGACAACATTACTTTTATATTAAAAAAAACTTTCTTAATTTAGCGCGTGTTTATTTCCTCTAATAACAATTTTGCGATTAGTATCTCTCTCTTTTTATCTCATACTGTATTCGTAAAACAACAAGAGGAATATTTTTTAATAAATACTCTAACTTTTTCCTTTTTTTAATCTCACCACCTCCTAGTCCACTTTCCTGTTATTTCCATGCTAAAAATTGAACCACAAAATATTGATAATTCTTACCTCTTTTTATTAATTTACTTGAAAGATTTATTAATATATCAACTCCATTACTAAATTACTTTCTTTAATTATTTATTTAAAATGGAAAACGCTAAGTCGATATCGAAGGAGGTTTATTCATTCTTGAAGGAAATTGATTATCCTAACCCTGAGGATGAAAACATGGACAAAGTTATAGACAGTATTATCGATGGTCTCGATAATACTAACAAAAAAAAAGTGTACTACTACGATTTCTTGCTACTTTTAGCAAGATACTATTTAATAGAAAGGAATTTCCATGCAGATATTGATCGAATTCTACTCAGTCGAATCGTGAGAAATTTAGATAAGCCCTTACCTGATGCTATGAAAGAGAAGATGAAAGTTTATACCGAGCGCTTCAATGAACGCTATACTCGAAATTATTACAATGATTACTATGATGAGAGTGACGATGAGAGTGACGATGAGAGTGACGATGAGAGTGATGAGGATGACGATGAGGTGGTCGATGAGGTGGTGGAGGTGATGGAGGTGGTGGATGAGAATGAGGATGAGGGGGATGAGGGGGAGAATCTTGGTGGACAGAATTCAGGTTTATATATAGATATAAATGGGTACGAGAGAGGTACTTCCTTTCGCAATAATGAATTATAGTCGTGTTGTTATTATACTATTATTATTATTACTATTGCTATCATTTTATCATATTGGGTTGTTCTTATTTTATGATTCTACGATTAACGCTTTAATTTTTATATTATTGTGTTATTATTTATTTATTTATTTAGCTATTTATTTATTTTTAATTCTGAATAGCATTTCGATATCAAAATTAATCAGAATTCGTTGCTCGTTAAATTTTCTAATAAAATATAAGATCATATGTATTAAGTTAATTTTTTTTGAAAAAACCCAAAAGAAAAAAACCGTTTTTTTCTAATTTGGAGAATAGATGACTGATTTGTTTGTTTGTTTTTTTTTTTTTTTTTTTTTGAATTAATGAGAAAAAAAAACCGTAATTATTTTTGTAACTACGTAATTTATTGTTTCACAAACAAAAAACATGTTATTGATAAGAAAGCCAAGCAAGCAAGTAGTGCCAAAAATAAAAAATAATTAAAAATAATTTTTTTTAATATGCACGTACATAAAAAAAAAATTTCCAAAAATTTTCGGAATTATTTTTATAAATTCCACAGAAGGTTTTTTTTATTCAAAAATTATTATTTTCAATTTATAGAAAAATAAATACCTACTTCCTTTAATTTTAATTTCTTTTTTAATGAGTTAATGTCTACTTACTATTCTTATTTTTAAAAATTAAATTTTTTAACAACTTATTTATTGCTATTTTATTGTTGATCGAGAAAAAAAATATTCCCTCATCATAATTGTTGTAATTAATCTTTTTAATAATTTTATATCAATAAAAAATTCCGTTTTCGCCTTCCTCCATTACACCATCTACACACCACATCATCCGTTGTAAATAGTATACACCATATAATTAATTACTACAATCACCATAAACTCTATACCCTATCTCTGGTATACCGGCTGACTATGTCTATTGAATTGAATAATCAACGTGACAACCTAATCTCGATAATTAATATCAGCAACGACGTGTTCGACAATAATAAAATAGATTATTTAAGTAAAACAATCAGGAGAAATTTAAGTACAAAAAATACATTTTATAAATTCACTGCCCGGTATTTGTTTGAAATTATATTTATTGAAAAGGTGGGCAGATATGGCACATACAATAAAAAAGCATTGCAAAGTGCCTCATTTCAGGTCTGGTCAAAGGCAACGACTGAGCAAAGGAATATTTATATAAACATTCACAGAAATTTACGACAAATTCGCGATACGACATCACAACAGTAGTAGTAGTAGTCAAGAGAACAAAAGATTTAGCATTAACATATTTTATAATAATAATACGCATAAGAAGCAATAATTTACTATAATCCATATTTAATTGTGATTATATTATTGTTGTTATTAAGATATTAGTTATTAAGTTTAAACGCGGAAAAAAATTTTTATATACGTAATTAAGCCAAATTAATTATCAATTAGCTACTTAAAAAAAAAAATAACTTGAATATTCAAGTTTTTTTTTATATTCCTGTCTTTTTTTTTTCCTAATACTAAGTACACAAGTTAATTGTCTTATCATACATACAATTATGGAATATTTTTTTGTCTGAAAAAACCGTTTATTGTTATGTTACATTGAAGATCAATTCCGATAACATTATTTTAATATTAATATGCAATAGTGTATGTAAATGTATGTAATGTAATAAATCGTTGTTAATACAGATTTTTAAATACTTGTTTTTTTAAAAAAAAAAAAAAAGGAAAGATTATCTCCACATTTAATAATTAATTATAAATTAAAAATGCTTATTTAATATTTTATCAATTAACGTCAATCAATCAATCAATCATTAAAAATTAAAAAAGTAGAGTAAAGTTTTTTTTTTTTGTGTATTATTGCTGTATAATTACATCAATACACAAAAAAATCAACCCTTAATCTAATGTTTTTAAAACTGTTTATGCTTAAATTTATCTTGCATTTTCGTGTAACATAGAGACCATCAATAAAAACTTTACGCCATTATTAAATTTTAAAATATGTGTTTGTGTGGAGTATACCTTTTGGCTTTCATATTTGTAACGCTTAAAATCTTTATTATTATCCAGTTGTTTTATTACTAATATTAATTCGTAGACTTCCTTAAAAATTTTTAAAAATAAATAAATAAAATATAATGATTATCAAAGCCATTATTAAAAATTAATCAGTGTTAATTAACGAGACGCGGGAAAATAAAAATTTCTTAAAGATTAGCAAGCAGGTTTGATAGAAAAAACTTGTAATCATCTTGATTTTGTTTTTTGTTGTTGTTGTTACTTTAATGTTAACACACGTACGTACGTACGTACGTAATAAACTAAAAATAGTGTACAATAGTTGAATTTTACCAGTTATTGTGTGTCCAAAAAAAAACCGGGTGGGAGCAAGAAGGAAAAGCCGGGGAAAACAACAAAAGAAAATTATGTCATATCTTATCGTGATCAACAAATTTTATTTAATGTAGATCAATATGTATATAATAAAACCGCAGATTTTTTTATTAAAAAGACTCCCCAAAAAAAACCACCAAGGCTCAATGCTTAGAACAATAATTTTAAATATTGGCGGTTTTTGTGATCTGAATTATAAACAAAAAAATTCGCAAAACTTTAAAGCCTTATAACTATTTTTTTTTATTAATCAAATTTGAAAAAAAAAAACATCTGTTCAGTTATAGCTCAAGTCTTATAAAACTGCAGCAAGATTTTTTTCTTTAGCATATTTGGTTATTGAGCTTTGGCACTTTAAAGATTGGCTACCATAAAAAATTCTCGTATTTGATCTACATTGTGTATGTGACTTAAAAGAATGTGATTCTTGATCGTGATAGATGTGACTATTAGTATTAGGAATATAATCCTCTTTCATATCACAGGACTTTGTGGGATATAACTCAAGCAGTCGATCATTTCACGTGATTTTTAATTTATTATCTACGAATTCTGTCAACACGGAAAGAATGGAGTTTTGCTTTATCTATGTTAAGAGTGAGGAATCAATCACTAAAATAAAAGAACATGTCTAAGTCAAATTAAGTCCTTTTGTACATTATTTTAAAAAAATAAAATCAATAAAGTCCTTTTTGAAATGTAAAGATACTTTGCCATAGAGGTTGGAATCGTCCAAAAAATCCTTAGTCGACTACTAGTTGGTCAAAAAATTCTTTAGTCGACTAATTAGTTGATTAATTTGGTTGACTATTTTAGTCGATTATTTAGTCGAATATTTTAGTCGACTAAATTTTTTTTTATAATAATAATAGTAGCAATCCAAAAAAAGGAAACAAAATGGTCGTAAAGGCGGTTGTAACCAGCGATTGCAATCATTTTTATATGACGAAAAGATGGTGGCAACCACCATCAAAAGTTGCAGCCAGTATCCTTAAATAATAATATTTCGATTTTTTTTTTAATTTGCAAATTACGAATTCATTTCCATTTGAATCTTTCACTTTTTCAAAATGCTTCCACACAAAACCATGTGTTACGATTCGTTTTTG